AGTTCATTTTTCAACATAACGTCTTGTACATCTCATTTTTGCATTGGGTCCACCTATATCCCTATTTAAACAATTTGTTTTATTTCCCTTCCCATCCACAAATTATACCAACATCAAATACAGTGAAAACAGGGGATATACCTTGGGAGAGGGACATACAAAGCAACAAAGAAATATCTTATAAATATCTTAGAAACAATAGCAAGAAAGAAAAACCATTTGAGTACTTATGTTGGGGTTGATTTCACCTAACATCAACTTATCGGACCATTTCTGCTTGTCTCAGACATATACTAGTTATTGCAAATAAGGGAAACCATGGGACCTATGTTTCTTTGGGCCTGGCTTACTTCACTTAATATAATTTTTTCCAAGTCTTACCATTTCCTAACAAATGGGGCAATGTCATTCTTTCTAATGGAGGCATAGAATTCCATTGTGTATATATACCATATTTTCTCGATCCATTCCTCAATTGAGGGGCATCTAGGTTGGTTCCATATCTTAGCTATGGTAAATAATGCTGCAAGAAACATAATTGTGCTGGTAGCTTTAGTATGCTCTTGTTTGTAAACATTTCAGTAAATGCCCCAAAGTGGGATTCCTGGGTCATAGGGGAGCTCTATATGGAGTCTTTTGAGGAACCTCCATACTACTTTCCAAAGTGGTTGAACAAGTTTACACTCCCACCAACAATGCAGTAGGGTTCCCTTCAGTCCACATCCTCTGCAGCATCTGTTGTTATTGGAGTTCTTGATTATAGCTATTCTAACTGGGGTGAGGTGGTCTCTCAGTGTTGTTTTGATTTGCATTTCTTTTATGGCTAGAGAGGTTAAGCATTTCTTCATGTGTCTATTGGCCATCCTTCTTTCCTCTTCAGAGAAGTTTCTCTTTAAGTCTTTAGCCCACTTATTCATTGGGGATTTGTTGTTGGGGGATTTAATTTTTGAGTTCCAGGTATATTTTACATATGAGACCCTTGTCTATTGTATGGCTAGTGAAGATCTTCTCCCAATCCGTGGGCTTTCTATTGATCTTGCTAGCTATGTCCTTTGCCATGCAGAAGCTCTGCAATTTCATGCAATCCCATTTGTCCAATCTTGCTTTGATTTGTTGTGCTTCTGGGTCTCTATTAAGAAAATTTTAGCCTGTGCCAAGTAGACCTAGGGTTTCTCCTATTTCATCCTGTAATGTTTTCAGAGTGTCTGCTTTGACTCCAAGGTCTTTGATCCATTTGGAGTTGATTCTGATGCAGGATGATATATAAGGATTTATATTTAGTTTTCTACAAGTGATTAACCAATTTTGCCAGCACCATTTACTGAAGAGGCTGTCTTTTTTCCATTTTATGTATTTAGCTCCCTTATCGAAAATTAGATGGCTATAGGTCTATGTGTTCATTTCTGGGTTTTCAATCCTATTCCATTGGTCCTGAGGCCTGTTCTTGTGCCAGTTCCAAGCTGTTTTGATTACTATGGCTTTGTAGTAGAGGTTGAAATTTGGTGTTGATATTCCTCCAACATTGTTCTTTCTGTTAAGTATTGTTTATGCTATTCGGGGTCTTTTATTGTTCCATATGAATTTTTGGATTACCTCTTCTATTTCCTTGAAGAATGAGGTTGGAATATTGATAGGTATCGCATTGAATTTGTAGATAGTCTTCGGAAGTATATTTTCACGATGTTGAGCCTTCCAATCCAGGAGCATGGGAAGTTTTTTCACTTTCTAAGTTCTGTTTTGATTTCCATTTTCAGGTTTTTAAAGTTTTCATCATAGAAATCCTTCACTTCTTTGGTTAAGTTAATTCCTAGGTGTTTTATTTTTTTTGTGGGGCTATTATGAATGGAGTTGCTTTCCTGATTTTAGCCACTCTTTTCTCATTTTTGGCATACAGAAAAGCCATTGATTTTTGAGGGTTAATTTTACACCCTGCCACTTTGCCAAAGTTTTGAATCAGCTTGAGTAATTTGGGAGTGGAGTCTATGGGATTCTTTAAATACAAGATCATGTCATCTGCAAAGAGGGAGAGTTTTACTTCATCTTTCCCTATTTGTTCCTTTTTATGTTTGCATCTTGTCTTATTGCTGTAGCTAGGCATTGTAATACTAAATTGAAGAGAAGTGGAGAGAGTGGACATCCTTGTCTTGTTCCTGAGTTAAGAGGAAATGGTTTTAGTTTTTCACCATTAAGTATAATGCTGGCTATTGGTTTGTCATATACAGTCTTTATTGTATTGAGGAATGTTCTCTGGATTCCCCATTTTTCCAGAACCTCATCATAAAGGGGTGTTGGATCTTGTCAGATGCTTTTTCTGCATCTATTGAGACAACCATGTGGTTCTTATCCTTGCTCTTGTTGATGTGATGAATTATATTAATTGATTTGCATATATTGAACCAGCTTTGCATCCCTGAAATGAATCCTGTTTGATCATGGTGTAGGATTTTTTTGGATGAATTGTTGAAGTCAATTGGCCAAAATTTTGTTGAGAAGTTTTGCAGCAAAGTTCATCAAAGAAATGAGTCTATAGTTCTCTTTCTTTGATGAGTCCCTGCCTGGTTTTGGGATGAGGGTTATGATGGCTTCATAGAATGAGTTTGGTAGAGAACTTTCTCTTTCAATTTTATTGAAGAGTTGGAGGAGTATTGTGTGAGCTCTGCTTTGAAGACCTTGTAGAATTCCATTGTAAATCCATCTGGTCCTGGGATTTTCTTAGATGGGAAGTCTCTTATTGCTGTTTCTATTTCAATGCTTGATATGGGCCTGTTAAGATGGTTTAACTCATCTTGGTTTAGTTTTGGCATGTCAGCATTTGCTAGGAAAAGGTCCATTTCTGCAAGGCTTTCAAACTTATTAGCATAAAGGTTTGAGAAGTATTCCCTTATAATATCCTGAATCTTGGTTGTTTCTGTGGTGATGTTTCCATTCTCATCTCTGAATTTGTTCATTTGGGTGTGTTCTCTTCTTTTTCTGATAAGACTTGCTAAGAGTCTGTCAATTTTGTTAATTGTTCAGAGAACCAACTCTTTGTTTTGTTGATTTTTTTCTATGTTTTTTTTGATTCTAATTTGTTTAATTCTGATTTAATTTTAATTTCTTTCCATCTACTGCATTGTGGTTTATCTTGCTACTCTTTTTCAAGGAGGTTCAGATGGAGGCTTGGTAAGCCTTTCTGAGCCACAGCAAAATGTACTTGTGGCTGCTGGGATCTGTGGTACATATCTGAACTTTGCTTCTATATAGATAACTATAGATTACTAGAAACCACAAAAATAAACAAAGGTATTTTACCTGAGTCTCTGTGAACATAACAGCATTTGGATTAACCTAACTAACCTAGGACTTACTGATCTGATGAAATCTCTAGAAAGAGGGTAAAGACCCCCTGAGATGTTAAGCATAGTATAAAAATCACTTAAATTAAAATGTCTTTTAGAACCAAGCGCTGTTGGTTCATACCTTGTAATTCTAGCTAATCAGGACGTTGTGATCTAGAGGACTGCTGTTCAAAGCCAGCCTTAAGTACAAATGTCTTTGAGACTTTATCTCTAAAATTATAAGCAAAAAGTTAGGTTTGAGGCATAGCTCAAGTGATTGAGCACCAGTCAAGAACGTAAGCTAAATAAGCTTGCGGCCTCAAGTTTGAATCACAGTACAGCAAAAACCAACAAGCAAAAAAATTCCCCATCATTTAGAAAGGAAATATTTCTATTTGAGTTATTTAATAGAAGAGTTTTAGTAGTCTACATGCAAGTTATCTGAGAATTTGGGGACTAGATTAATTGGTTCATTAGTTTGTCCTGGGTATCCAGACCTCTGCTTTCCTTGGAACAAGGACCCTGATTTTCCTGTTGTGTCAACTGCATTTGACATCATGGACACAATGGACATTGAGAAGATGCTGCCAAATTTTACATGACTAGTGAACCACGGGAGAATCTAGATACTGTTTCCAAAAGACTTTGATCAGAATTTGTTTTCTTAGAGCAAATGAATCCTATATAAAATACAAAGATGACAGAGATAAAAACTCTCTGCTTTTCAAATTTGAGCAGAGTGCTTGGGGGTATGGAAGGAACATTGGCCTTAGAAATGAAATGTTTGGTTTTGAGTCTTGTCTTTACTGTAACTAGCTTCCTCACCTTTAGCAAGTCACTTGGTGTCTCTGAAGTCAGTCATGTAAGAAATAGGACAATAGCCCAAGGCATAGTCATTGTAAGGATGGAAGCAATTTGTATGATATGATGCATACAAAAGTTATTTTTATTTTCCATTAGTAAATCCCTTCAAGTTAAATTCTTTTTTTTCTAGGCCAGAAATAACTATAACTTCACAGAAAATGTGCTGCTTTAATAGCTGGAGTACAGACTCAAAATAGTGACATATGCCTTTTTAGTTTAGATAAGCAACATCTGCTCTGTAGTGTTTTCCTTTTGGCCTTTTAGAAAAAGGAGGTATAGTTTCAACATGAATTTTAGCCAGTTATACTTGAAAATAGCCTGTCCCAATGAACAGAAGTAACTGACAACATTATCATGGGTTCCATAATTGGACTTATATCACTGAAAGATCTGTTCTATCATTTAGGAAAGACTTGTATTTATTAATGATTCCATTCATAGCAAACACATGTCCAAATCATTCCTTAAGTCATTTCATATCATTACTGTTCACTGTTTAATTTACTGGCTTCATTTTAACTGATAGATCACTCCTTTACCTTCAAGAATTTAATGGGCTTTTTTCTCTACTAAGAGATGTCTCCTCAGCTATCATAGTTTGGCATAAAATATGTAAACTCTGATCTTAATTCATTAAAGGCTTTCATTTGTGGCCCTTTCCAAAATGAAAGTTGACAGAAGTACTTTTGCTGTTAATAAACTCTGAGATTTTTTTAGGTCTACCCTGAGCTTGATACTCTTCTGTTTTCAGGCACCAGGAGCAAGTGTGCTCACATGTGGTGTAACCTGTTCTGTGGTTCTCTGGTTTTTTTCTCACAGCAACACCCTTGAGCTCATTGAAGCAACCTCGAGTGGACACTGCTCCCGTGGTCGCATCTCCCTATCAAAGAAGAGACTCAGACAGATACTGTGGGCTCTGTGCAGCCTGGTTCAACAACCCCCTGATGGCCCAGCAACACTATGATGGCAAGAAACACAAAAAAAATGCAGCAAGAGTTGCTTTGCTAGAACAGCTTGGAACAACCCTGGATATGGGGGAACTAAGAGGTAAGATAAATGTCCTAATTTCTGCCAGAAAACTGAGCTTTCCTAGAAAAGAGTTTTCACAAAGTGGGGTGAGTCTTCTTATCATTTTGTTTAATAAAGAAATTAAGAGGTTCACCTAAAAGCAATGGAAAGGGATTGAAACTGAGCAGCTAGCTAGCTGTAGTCTATTTTTGTGATGTTTCAGAGTGTTCATTTCTGTATCTTTATTCAGTGTTCTTCAACTCAGACATACCCATCTATGATTCTTTTCTTTTTGTTTCTTCATAAACATTTTCTTTAATAAATGCTTCTGTAGATAAGCAGCATAAATGATACTGTAAAGCCCGATGGTTATTTCAACCTTATGTGCTTTTATGAATTCAGTCAAAACAAAGCAAGTGTGGCTATATGGTACAATGTAGCCAACACCTTCCCAGACAACCTTTTCCTCTGACAGTCTTCCTGGATAAAAAAAAAAAAGGAAAACATTTATCAGTTCAAGCTTGTAGAATATCACTGAAACTGTTGAGGCCTGGAAACCATAGGGTCATAATCCTGTAAATGTTCTGTGAATGCCATCAATGATCATTTAAGCATTTATGTATTACCTATATATTTTTCATTTTTTTCTTTTGGTGGCACTGGGGATTAAATTTAGGGCTTGATGTTTGTTAGGAATTGTGCTACTGCTTGAGCCATGCCTCCAGCCCATTTTGCTCTGGTTACTTTTTCAAATAAGCTCATATTTTTATGCCTGGTCTGGCCTACACTATTCCTATTTGCACTGTACATTATAGATAGCATGCAGGCATATAACACCATACCTAGTGGTTGGTTGAGGCGGGGTCTCCAGAAAGTATTTTTAGTATTTAGTATTTATTTTTAGTATTTATTTATTTAGTATTTATTTTTAGTATTTAGTATTTTATTTTTGTTGACATAGGACTTATTTCTCCCAGCAAATATCTAGAAGTAGAATTGATAGAAGCATTTAGTAAAGAAAATGTTTATGAATAAAGCAAAAAGAAAAGAGTTATATATGGGTGAGTCTGATTTGAGGAACAGCGAATAAAGATACAGAAATGATCACTCTGAAATATCAGAACAATAGACTATAGCTAGCTAGCTACTCACTTTCAATCCCCTTTCATTGCTTTTAAGTGAACCTCTTATTTTCCTTAGTATGCAAACTGGCCTAGAACCTCAATCTTCACAACCTCCATTTTTTTTGGTTAACTGGGATTATAGTTACGAGCCATCAGCACCTAGTACCTAAACATTATTGTTTGTCACAGACCCATATTAGCTTTGTAAAGGCATAATAAAATTGCTTACTCTATTTTACAAAATATTTTCTCAGAAAAATCATTCTGTAGAAGGTGATGTTGATCCTAGAACTCATATTTGGTATCTAAACTATTAGATATGCTTTTATGGATTGACCAGGGAACATTATTCAAAACAGTCATAAGGTATAAATGGCAAAATTTATGAGTCAATTTTGTGGATGCATCATGAAGAACCTACAGTTCTTACTACCTTAATCTGGATGTGGGCCTCTGAGAGGGATAATTAGGACAAGAAATGTCCTGGGATGTTTCTTAACCAAAAGAAAAATTATGTTGTATGAACTGAGACACATCATCTCTGATCATGTTGACTGGAAAGTCTTTATGCCTGAAAAGGATATGAATTTTAACTAGAAATGTGGGTAGGTGACATGTTATTTGGTGATACATTATATGTGATTAGATTCATATACATGTATACCAAGAGGCAGGAAACAGAAGCTGTAGAGTTAATAAATGTCACCATGAAAGGATCCCCTGCTACCATGTAGATTTAAGATTAGGCATACATTATGATGGAACTTAATTAAAGACTTTTTCCTAGATAGTGGCTTCGGGCAGATAAGAAAATGTTTTATTTTGTGTATGTTTTCTAATCTTAGAGAAGTAACATGAGGCTAAATATTTTAGTATGTCAGATAATTTCATTGTAGGTTTTGATTTGTTTGCACTATTGCTTTTTGCTAGGGGATTTCTTATGTTTTCAATCTATGTCTTGTTAAAAACTCGAGGATGAGTTTCTCCATAGCTGAAGGCCACTCTGCAACTCAGCTGTTGCTGGCAGATAACAATAGGTTCCATGGCTCCTGCACGCACGGCTCTGGAGGAGAAAAATGGGGCTTTATTTATGTTTGGTGCCAGATATTATGACTTGAAGAAGAATTATTCCTACAGCACATCTTTCTTGTCTATTTTGAATTATCCTTGCTGCATCTTTTATGTACAACCACATCTTAATGACTTGGGCGTCTAAATTCTGCAACATTTGAGCAGCTTGTCTTTTATATAGAAGACAAAGAAGCTGCTCTTTGACTTGATAACTCAATGTGACTCTGAGTCAGTATCACCTGGAATGTGATTAGCATTGAGTGCAGTGTCCTTGAATCCAACCTTTCCACCCACCCTTATATATTTATTCAAATATTTAATATTTTAGAAGCTTGAACAGTAAGGCAGCCATGGTAACCTGGAACAAGTTTTTAAACACACTCATACATACATACACAGGCACACACCTGTACATTTTTGGAATGCTTCTAAAATATGATCAATTAACAAAAGCAAAAGTGCTGATGAGTAAACCCAGGCATATCCATAACTTTCTCAAAATGATCCTAGGTAAACGGAGAATGATGCTGGTGTGGCACAGGAGGCCAGGCTGTTTCTCGTCTCGCAGTCTAACTCACATTTTTAAGCACTACTTTATTTATTACTATGATTTTCCTCAGTTCCTGTTTTTTCCTACTTTCCCTATAGATTGTTAGCAACTTGAAAGCAGACATCTATGTCCGTTTTGCTTACTGGGGTGAGTGTTCCAAACATCTAAAATAGTGGTGAACACATACATACTGCTTACTCAATAATTGCTAGATTAATAAACAGAAAAGGCCAAAAGAGAAAAATCACTTAAAACAGGAAAATTACCCTAGAAACCTTACAATCACTTCTGTTTCTCAAAGGTTCCTCACTGAATAATTTCACCAAAAATTACTTATGATTCTCTTCTTCTATTTTACATATAGTGAAATGCATAAATGTTAAGTATTATATTTTGATGAGGTTTGCCAAGTCTACCTCACATTTCACGTAATCTAAGCAACTTTATTTTAATGTTGTTGTTTCCCATCATGGGGCTTGAACTCAAAGCCTTTGTACTGTCCCTGATGTTTTTTGGTTTTGCTCAAAGTAGTGCTCTACTTCTTTAGTAACAGTTTCAGTTTTGGCTTTTGGGTGGTTAATTGGAGATAAGAGTCTCATGTACTTCCCTGTCCTGGTTGCCTTTGAACCAGGACCTTCAGGTCTCTGCCTCCTAAGTAACTAGGCTTATAGGCATAATCCACTAGCACCCACTTATATACAACTTTTACCGCATGTGACTTTTCCTGGTCAGTCCCAATTCTCAGATCCAGGAGACTGTTTATCTGAATTTTTTAAAAAAGCAAACATTAGTTTTGTTTTAAAAGTTTCACATCAATTAAATAAGAAAGAATGTGTGTATGTGTTTCTAGTTTCATTTAAAATTTACCTATTCATAGTTTATAAAGCAGTGTGTTCATTCAGTAATAGTCTGTTAACAGAAACCCAACCATTTGCCTATCTAGCCTCTTCTTGAGGATATATTTTGAATACAGTTTCCTTGAGTGTTTTTCTTCACCTTTTATAAACTTTTATTTTTGTTGACATAGGACTTATTTCTCCCAGCAAATATCTAGAAGTAGAATTGATAGATGACAAGCTGTGTGTACTCTTAAATATATAAGGAATGGTTCAAATACAAGCTAACTGTATAATTTTGCATATTCAAAGCAACAGAAGAATTCTGCATCCTCACTGGCATGTTTTTGGACAGTTTTAAAAATTTAGCCCTTTTAGTTGGCACAGGAAGATATTTAATATGGATTGAGTTAATTAGATAACCACACACGGTATGTGTGTGTATGTCTGTGTGTGCGTGCGTGTGTGTGTGTGTGTGTGTGTGTGTGTGTGTGTGTGCGTGCATGAATGTGCGCGTGTAGGTTCTGAGGCTTATACTCAGGGCCTGGATGCTGTCGCTGAGCATTTTTACTCAAGGCTAACACTCTAGCACTTGAGCCACAGCTCTACTTCCAGGTTTTTGGGGTGCTTAATTGGAGATAAAAATATCACAGACCTTTCTGTCCAGGCTGACTTCAGGCAACAATCCTCAGATCTCAGCCTCCTGAGTAGATAGAATTATAGGCCTGAGCCACTGGTATCCAGTTTAACATTTCATTTTTGATGAATTATGTCACACATTTTCAATGTGTGCATTGGTTACTTCTGGTTTTGCAGTTGTAAAATATCTTGTGTTTTTTTTGTCTATTTAAAAAATTGTCTTTGGATTAATGAACAATGTGTTTTGTTAGGTGAATTGTGAATATTTCTTATAATCTGAGACATACTTATTTTCTTTTTTTTTTTTTTTTTTTTGGGTCCGGTCGTGGGGCCTGAACTCTGGGCCTGGGCGCTGTCCCTCAGCTCTTCAGCTCAAGGCTAGTGCTCTACCACTTGAGTCACAGCGCCACTTCCGGCTTTTTTCTTTTTGCTTATGTGGTGCTGAGGAATCGAACCCAGGGCCTAGAGCATGCTAGGCAAGTGCTCTACCACTGAGCCACCTTCCCAGCCCAACATACTTATTTTCTTAAATAAGCTTTTTGATGATGAGATATTTGAAATTGCAAGACTTATTTCTGTTTATTTTCTAATCATTGATTTTTGTGTCTTTATAAAAATAATCTTTGTCTATGCTTATATTTTTGTATGTTTTATCACAATTTTAGCTGTTACACCTAGTATATCTCAAATTAATTTTGGAATATGGTGTGACATAAAGGTTAGAATTAACTTTGGTTTTGTATATTAATACAATTGCTTTATGCCACTTACTGAAAGTATTTATTGATAGTTCTTCATTGAATAGCCTTAAATTATTTT